TCTTCCGATTCTCTCCCCCATCCCACCGGGGTGGGAGTGAGCGAGCGGCTGAGTGGGGCTTAGTTGCCGGCTGGGGTTAAACCACGACAGTCCCCTTCTAGCCTGCAAGGCCATGAGAGCTCAAAGCTGCACAAAATTATCATTAGCTTTTTGTTATTTCTGTTTCTAGTGATTTCTCCTGCTGCGACCGAAGCAGACCCTATTTCCTATTACTGTGTTATTTTTGCCCCACAGCCCTGCAGGTCTACCAGCGTGCCCTGTGCTGAGGGCTCTGCAGGGAGGAGCAGGTATGTGGTCCAAAAAGGCTGCTCTCCCCCGCTGTGGGGACGTCGGAGGCTGACGGGCCCGTTTCCTGAGCTCGTGCTGTCCTCTGTGGTGGCTTTGGCACTTTACACTGAAATATTCCTGTGATTAGACTCCACAGCGTGCGTTTAAGACAGGCTGATCTTTAACTCAGTCTTCATGTCTGATTTGTGCACTTTGTGGGATTCTGAAGTGTTTTTTGTAACTTTTCACGCTGAATTTTAATGATGAGAGTATAAAAGCTTTTTGACTGTTATACACTAAGTTTTATTATAATCACCATTAATAATCATATAATAGAACCTAATTTTCATCAAGGTTTGATTCACATTTCACAAATGCCGCTGGCAACTGCTGAAATGGCACGTTGTCTTCATAAAACTCGAGTACCTGTTCTGCTTAATGAGGGGCCATCAGCTGTGGCAGAGTTTCAGGGCAACTGTGGCTTTCCGAGGGAGCCTGTGGGCTGGGAGGAGAGAGGTGGCTTTGGCGGGGCTGTTGCCACCACAGCCACCGCAGAAAAGTCATGTCGTGGTGGTGAAACAGTGCTGTTATAAGCCGGGAAGATATTCTGCACCAGTGGCTCTTGCAGCTCCAATGCAGAGATGATTTGGCTTACACTGTGGAATAGAGCAGTGCAAGTTTCTGGGAAATTTGTGGGAGACAATCATGGTAGACATGGAAAAAGTAGAAAAGCCATCTCTTTATGTATTTCAATGATTTTTATAATGGCTAATTTTGAAGATGCAGAGAGGTTTAAAATGCTGGAATTATTCCTAGTGGAAATAAACCAACAAAAGTGCACAAAAAATCTTCTGCTTGGCGTTTTTAACATGCTTTGTACTGAAGTAAACATTGATTCAATTCAATTTAGTCCTAATATATTTGTTTTCACTTTCTTTAGGAAAACACCCCCCAGGGACAGATGTACTTGGATAACAAAGATGACAGTACAATTTCTAGACAACAGGAGATGGATCTGAATCAGACATCTTTACATCAAACCAGTTTATCTGCAAAGGTGGCAGCCCCCCCCAAACCGGTGACCAGAAGTTGCAATGAGCTGTGGCTATTAAAAGAGCATCATGGCATGGTAGCGAGCCTTGGAGAGCCACAGACGCCGTGTGAAAAACCAGCAATAGGGGAGGATGGCTGCGTTGCTCCGGGGAAGGATTTCACATCCGTCCCGATGCAGGGAAGGTAAAGAATAAGAATAAACAGAATATTTTTTCTCCTAATGCAAATTAATTTTTATTTCCTTGCAGAGCAGATACGTATGTTCATTAAGTGAATGTTGTTTCTCCGACATAGAGAACAGGAAGCTTAATGTGACATCAGAGCTGTCTTAAAAAGAGCCATGGGGGATCGTGGATCACAGGATTTCTGAATTAATCTCAGCTTTAATAGCAGCGATGGGCCAATTTTGCTGTGTTTTCAAGATCAGACATGTGGCTTTTCTTCCTTACTTGGTGTCACCAAGTGTCATAAAACACACAGAGATAAAGCAGTTTTCATCTTCCACCCCTCACCTCTTTCAGAAAAATGCATCGTAATGCCATAAACTGAATCAGTATGGCTAAGACTGGGAACACTAAAATGGCACTAATAACACAATGTGACAGTTGACACACCACATATCAAGTGTACAAGGAGTGTGTGCTCCTTGTGTATCCTCTCCTGCAACAGGAAAGGTGCAGGTTTGGGGGCGGGGGTGCTAGTCTTTCCTGTTGCGACAGATACAACATCAGCATTCTATTTGTAAGTGTTTAGAAATATCTGATAGACCCCAAAATATTGCAAGTGGCTTTTTAAACCTTTCTTGTTCACATGTTCACTTTGTTAAACCCCTTTGGTGGCAGGATGGAGCAAGCTTTGCACCAGCAGCAACCACAGAGTGTGGAAGGCAGACAGGGTGGACTGTCAACCTTTTTGGGTAGTTTTTGAGAATTTGTAGATATGACTTGACAGGGCCTAAAGTGAGAGCAATGCTGCACTTAATCCGAGATCCTGCAGAGCGCAGGCCTTGAAATGCTCCCTGGGAAAGTCTGCATCGAGCAAGATGGCTTACACTGCAGTGGTGAAGTAGAGTGCCAGCACAATTTCCAGAACCTGATGCTGGATACTCTTGCTGCACTGCTACAAGTCAGGAAAAAACACGGTAGATTTCAAAGCAGTTTAATGTTTAAATCAGATTATTTCTTAAAATTAATGAAAATTAAATAGACATAAAAATACAATTTATTTAATTACTTAATTAAAGTGTAATGCAGATCAGAATCCTGGGTAAGTCTTACCTGTAGTCAGCTAGACTTTTCATCCAAAGAACAGAATTTTCTTTTTATTTCTCTCCCTCCCTCCTCTTTGTGCGATTCTTCACAGCTGTTCGGATAGGGTGGGAGGTGCAGTCCCAGGGGCTCCCCACAATGCTGGGCATGGTGGTCACATCTCTGAATTGCTGAGGTCTGTCCTGTGCCCCTGCATCTCATTTAGAAGGAAATCTGCTTATTCTGGGAGCAAAGGATGTTCAGGTCATTTTGGTAAGTTCCCTGATCTGGGCAACGGGGAGTCCAGCTGGTTAGGTGCAGCAAAGCTCACCTTACTTACCTACAGTGTGTGTGTGTCCTATAAGTCTACAGCAAAGCAAGTCAAGGTTTTATGTGCATCCGAAAATATTTCCACCAGAATGAGAACTGGAAATCATTGTAGCTATGTTTTGCAAATACTAAAAAAATAATGAAATTGACAGCTTGACCACAAAAGCCATATAAATCCTTTAGAAATGATTTTTGGAGTATTTGAGGATTTGTTGTATTAACTAAGAGTTTTACCAACAGAATCAAATCTTGTAAAAGTTCTTCAGTTCAGCATGTGGTGGGGGTGAGTTAATGTCGTCTTGTTTTGAAAGAGCATGGTAAGTGCAATGTATATAAGAGGATGAGAAGCAGGCAGGGGAAGGGAAGGACTGAGTCCATCTGGAGATAAGGCTTTTCTTTTGCGAATTCACATATATGTCTTGCTACAGGTGTGTTTACCAGTGCTATTTACTGGTCTGTTAACGATCCTGGTACAGGAACAAAACCCATGATTGTGTTCTTGTGGACCAGCTCTCACCCTTCTGGCTAAACATCTTCCTGTTATTTTCCAATGGGTGATAGGAATTTGTGTACCGGTGATACGCAACTTACTGTGAACCTATGAACCACAGTTTGGAAATCATGGTCACAGGTACCAGAGATGAAAAATACTAAATTATGGGTGAGCCCACCTTCCTGCAAGTGCAGGCAGTAGCTCCGGGTCTTTTGATAACACCATTTTCCTGTTGAGGAAACTGTAGTCACTGTGTGGGATTTAGAAATAGATGTACAATTAAAGAGCCATCCCCATGTTCCCTTACAGACGAATGTATATCTAATCTTCTATAGTAATATATTAGGGCTCAGGAAAGGATCTCATGAAATTTATCCTTCTTGATCTTTACCCCTCTTGCTCCTCCAATATCGATTTTTTTCGCGTGGAGATGAATCTTATCTGGCTCTTCTTAGCATATATTTTAGCCAATGTACATTAGGTGCAGTTAAAATACTGATGTGATCTGTGTGACTCCTCTAGTGTGAGTAATTACCCTTAAATCATTGGGACTACTCAACAGAATGCAGATAAAAACATGGATAAACCTTTGCAGGCTCACAAGTTTGATTAGTTTCATTAGAATGAGAATTAGCTTTTAATGTAAATTGTTCTTTTGCTTGCAAAGAAAACTACTAATGATTAAAAAAAGATGAGACCAAGTCCTTTTTTTTCTGTAAAGAGGTTCACTAAATTGGCATGTCTGTATGGTTTGTTTTAATGCATCTACTTAACTTAAATTGCTGAATTATCTTTCAGGGATAAGATTCCCAGGTTTTCTAAATTGTTCAAATGTACGCTGAGACAAGGCTTTCCAAAGAATCTGTTTAACAGAACAGGGGATTTATCTTGGTCGCTAAAATTACCTTTAAGAAAATGTTCTTGAGTTAACCGGGGCCCTTTTCTCAGGGAGATAGATGTGCACCCTGTTCTGGACTGAACATTTCCATTTGACTGCAGTGCAATCCTGCAGGTATTTTGTGGTTGGTGTGTGTATTGTCTCGGGCTGCCTGTCTGTCAAAATGCCTTCTCATTTACCTTGTGTATGAAAGATCAGTACCTTCTGACTCCAGGTTTTACTGCATTGCCTTAGGCCCCCCGGGCTCTGCGTGAGGAGGTCTGGACCATCCACAGTGGTCACGCCAATGACTTTGTCTTTTCAGAGCATCCTTCCCCCTGAAATAAGCCTGCCAGCCTTCTTGTGAGCAACGTACTTCCTTCAGTCCTGCTCGCTGCGGGAAATGCAGGCGTGTGTCTCTGAAGTGGGCTACGAAAGAGATCCAGGAGTGTTCAGTGGGAATGCACCTGGCCTAGGTGTCCACCTCTGCTGAACTGCATTATGCAGTGTAGTTTGGTCTATCAGAAATATAGTTTTTAAACTAGTGCAAAAGGACAGTGAAGTCTGGATTTTGATTTTGCAATTCTCTCATTTTCCTCAGCCTTTAAACAATGGATTGACCAGGCTCTTTTTTCATTACAGTTACATGAAAGTGGCTTTTGTGGTTGGTAGACATTGGTCCAAGCCACCTTCCCGAGCCTCTTACCTTGCAGGAAGATTTCATGCTGCTCTGTGGCTGCATGGGCATTGCTCCTCAGGTCAGCCCTGACATCTCCAGAAGCACAGGCTACTTCCTTCCATCCTGTCTATGCACGTACAGGATGTGCCCATAAAAAAGGCCCCTCGGTTGCCTTGGTCTCATCAGCATCAGTGCTACTTCTTTATATCGAAGAAATGGCTTTATATCGACCAAATCTGAAATCCTCCTTTGTGATCCACAGGGTGGGGGTGAAGTCAGCTGTTTTCCGCTTAGGAATTAGTGAGTGAGTCTCAAAGGCCGTCTATAGAAATGAGATTAATAGTAATTCTTAATCCCACATAACAAATTACTTTTTGTTGCTATTTAAAAGTATGTTGCTGAAAAAAGAAGGGCATTCATTGGAATATAAAAGTGGTGGAAGGTGGTGGAAGAGAGGGGTAATAGAGTAACTAGACCCTGTGGCATTCATTTCATATTGCCTTTTGGTCCCTTTCTTTCTTTGATATAATTGCTGGCTGTACCTCCTATAAGTGGTCAGATAATAACACAATAATGTTATTACCTTCTCAGGAAAAAAAAAGGTTGGCAGTGGTGCATTCATTATGTTGTGAACTTTTCATGAGAAGTTAGGCTGTGAAAGGAAGGTGATGAAACCAAGCCCTAGCGTTATTCCACTGAAGTTATATTTGGATGAATTTGGCCCTGGAATTTGCTGGTGATTTAATATGATAGCCCTTGAAAGTATTTTTCTTTAATCTTTGTGCCTCATTAAGAAGATTCACCTCTGAGACAACAAAAAAAAAAATAACATCGTCTTTGGAATGTGCTGGAATTTGTGTTTCATCAAGCAAAACTATTTCTCTCAGCATTTCTCCTGTCCCTCAGTTTCACTTACGTAATGCTCACTTATGTAAGAAAAAGTAAAAACAATCAACCAAATGCAACTCTTCCTTTGCCCTGAATCTGTGGTCCCAGGATCAGTAGGAAGATTGGTTTGCAATGAGAAGGTCAGTGAGTTAAAAATGCCTATCGAATTATCAGTTTGCAGCAATACAACGGAAAGATTGCAATTGTATTTCCTGTTAGTTGGAGAAGTTGGGAGAGGATAAGCTATCGTATAGTGAGAAGTCAATATGAAAGTGAAGTTTTGCCTTTAGCAGTGAGGGATTATAAATCTCAATTTTGATTTTAATTATGTTGATGTATTGCTACTTTTAAAGGACATTTATGAAACTTAGAATGAGATGTCAAGAAGACATGGTTACTGTCTAAATAAGTAAAATTTATGTGACAATTTAAAAGCTTCTTCAGACAGGGGAAAAAGACTGAGGAAAAAAAGAACTTAAAACCATTCAAAACACATTTTTTCTGTGTCCTAAGACTGATTTTGTTCTTTGGCTATTAGAATAAAATGGGATCATCTTCTATTCAACAGTCAAACAGGGAAAGCAGTCGTTTTCACATCATAATTGCATGTTTGTGTAGCAACCATTCTGATTTTTCATGTGAATCACACAAACACTAGAGAAGAGTCCA